AAATAGAATATATCCCTGAAAATATGCATTGTAAATAGGGGTGTAACAATACATCGATATGGATCGATGCATCGATCAAAAGTCTAACGATACGATGCATCGATACCACACAAAATATCGATATACGGTACCTTTATTTTGACACACTCCACATCCTCAAATAACTTTTCTCCGCTGAAATAGACGCCTGACAAGATTGACTGAACCCTTTTTCACAAAAGCTGGTATTTTCCACTGTTAAGGCATCTCAAGTTTGTTTCACAGCAGAAACGACAAGCCCCGAAAAGTCTGTTTTAGCAAATCAATGCGCAGTATTCAGGTCAGGTGACAAGGCTGCTTGTCACTTTGAAAAGACGCGCTGGCTGAGAGGAGTTTCGTCAAAGCTGACTAAAAGTGATCGAGGATGGATTTCAGCAAACTAGATGAACCCATGATATCTTCTTCGGGTTGTAAAAGGAAAATAAAAGTTGAAACTTGTTCACGGAATCTTGCTAAAACGTGGTGAGTGAAAAGCTCTCTGTATTGCATGTAAGTTACGTTAATGAGTCAGCCGCTCCCATTTGGAAAAAAAAAAAAACTCCTGTGGTGTCGTCATGAAAGTGCTTTAGGGCTTTTAGTTCAACAATGTGCAGATTTGGAGAAATATTTATATTCTCATAGGTTTACATCATATTTCTATTGACAAGAATAATATTTATTGAATTTATACCCAACTGCATCGATGTAATCTTTATGATCGCTGGATACTCTGATGTACTTTGTTTTTAATCCATACTGGCCGCCTGAGGGCGCTCTCTGCACAGAATATTCCATATGGTAGTTACACACAAAGATAATCATGTGACATTTCAGGAAGTGCCTGACAGCAACAAAGCGAACAGAGATCGCTGTAACATTTTGGAGGCAATAAACATGATTGCAATGATATTTGATTTACCTGTGTTCTTCGAGGTCTGCCAGGTATTTTGATAATAATAGCTATATTCATAATGTAATAGAGAGGGTATGCAAATTTCAAAGAGTTTAATTCAACTTTCCTGTAATATATTTTTGGGTGTATTGTGAGTTAATAAATATAACTGGTGGTGTACACTTGGCACATAATATCTAAATATCGATTAATCGATCGATATAGCCCTGAATCGAAACGTAGAATTTTTTGAGGTATCGGCAAATATCGTATCGCTGGCTGAGAGAATCGGTATCGTATCGTGATTAACTGTCCGATTTACACCCCTAATTGTAAACTGCTGCAAGTAAAAAAAAGTGTAGATTAGTAGTGTAGATAAACAGATTCGATTTGTTTAAAGAATTCTTTAATTAAAAAATTTAAAAAACCTATAACATGACAAAGCCAACAACAAAAACAAAAGAATATTACACTACAAGTTAAATTTTCAAGTATGTCTATTTAAAACTGTACCAAGTACATCACTTGTCTTGCATAAACAAAATAAACATCTTTATAGACATTTCAGAACAAATGTAAACAAAAAGTGCAAACAATTTAAAAAATAGATAAAATCCAGGCATTGCAATTACCACTTCAAATAAAATAAAATTATAAGTACAACATAAAAACGTCAACTGTTGCACAATATTTTTTTAAAACCACAATATATGTATATAAATATATGAACAATATTGTTGACTTCACTAATATAAAAAAATAGTTAAGCAACATACTCCGCATCAACCTCCTCAGTGAGTTTTACTTGCTTGTAGTCGGCACAAGCTCCTCGTCAGCAAACCAACCGTCCATTTCAATGGCTTCAGCTTCAGTCACAGTCTCCTTTTCCACCGCAGGCTTTACAACATTCCCCACCTTCATGACTGCAACCACAGTGTTGTCCAGCATTTTAAAGCTACACAAGCCCATGTCAAACAAATGCTTCTCTACGTCCTGTCTGTCTAAGGAGCTCCTCTTTCTCCAAGTGCTTTCTAAGCACTGAATTGGGCACTTTTAATTCTTCTTCACCAAAATCTCCTGACAAGGAGACGTTGGCGGTTACATTGGCCTGAAAACTTTCCAACCTCTGCAGCATGCCACACTTTCCACAGCGGTGAAACTTGCGTTTTCCTTCGACCTCAGCCTGCCAGGCAGAGCACTTCGTACAGCATCGCCGTACAATGACCTCTGCAGTGACATGACCGGTCAATGTTCTTCGTCAACTGCAAATGAAGCGTCCACACTCACACCAGACAAAGCTGCCACCTCGTTCATCTCAGTACTGCGAGTCGCAGTCAGGAACAGATCACCACCAAACTCCCCGGTAGACAAATTGGTGATTCAAAAAATAAATAAACGAGTCCTTTAAGCAAATTTAATAGCCAAGCTTTCGTTCACAAAACCATCCTCAAACTCAATGTCACATTCCATTTAACTGTGTTCAAACACATCAGGTAAATCAACAGTGATAACCCACACCTGCAGAGGCCAGGTAGGACCAGTTGTAGTCCAATGGTGGGAGTTGTAGTTTTTTAGGTGATCAACCCTAACTCCACAAAGTGAATAAGTGAAAAACACTACAAGAAACAGACATAAATATATACAAAAAATATACACATATGTAGGCGCATATACATATATATACAAATTGGTGATGTCATACGACCGACTATTGATCAATGCTCCCAGTTGCTTCCCCCACAACTGAATCTTTATGTGATCCGTGTCATCGGCTATATGACAAGTTTGCATCTCTACAAACACACCATTCATTTCCACCATTTTAGTCGCCGGACTGACATGAACCACCTTCACTTTGACTGCAGAAACCTAAACAGAAAATATTTGTATTAAAGGGGGGGTTGACTGCTTTTTTTCTTTGCATGATTGTGTTTATGGGGTGCAATATAACATGTATTCGTGTTTTTTCTTTTTTTAAAAGTCTTTTTTTTCATAAACTTCACTTTTATTGTCAGCCGCGCTCTCCTTCCGTCCCCTGAACGAGCGGTTTACTTCCTGAGTCTATGAAACCACTCCCTCAGAAACACGTCATGGGCTCAGATTGGTTAGCTTGGCCCGGTGTGTTGTGATTGGCTAAACTGCCAACTTAACTTTACCTTTACGGGCGAAACGGGCACGTCATGAGCTCCAGTCCAGATGTAAATATGTGTCGAACTGCAGTATCAGTTTGAGGTAGAATCAGACCGAGTAAGCCGCGATGAAGCGGGTCAAGCAGAACCTCACCACACACGGCGCTTAATAAACGTTTCTGAATGATAATTTGCTACATTTTTTAACTTTACACACGTTTGTTTTACACAATAGCATCTGTCTGGCAACAATAGCAACTGACTGGCTACTAATGGTATACTCAAACAGCGTTGGCAAGTTTACGTTCTTGATCAAATCGAAAATAACGTCATAAAGCATATATAAATGAAAAAGACGTTTAAAACATTAGTACTTATACAAAATTCATGTCTGTACGCGTTTGTTGTAGACACAAAATAGCATAACTAATAGCCTAGTGGCAATAAAGCCAGCGCTGGCATTTGAAAAAAATAAAACACAAGGCTACGTCTGGAATTATACATGAAAATACATTTAAAATGATTAAGTCTTAGCTTACTTACAGTTTGTGGCCCAACAACTGCTGCCTCTGGTTTTAAAGTTGAAACTGCGTCATGTTTTAGTAACAGTTTCTTGTTGAATCCGGTGTTGAATTCGTGGAGATTCTGGAAGCTGTCTTCCGTAAATGAGCAGCACAGAGAGCTAGATTACCATCGTCAGTTTCAGGAACATAATCAGACATAAATTGTATCCATTGTTGAGGAAGTACAGCGTCCGTGGGAAGTTCGAAGACATAAGACCTGACAGCTGGATGAACAACTCACTCGACGAGCTGCTGGAGCTGCTGAAATATGGCCATGTCCTTTTCTGCATATTCCGGAGGGAGTGGTTGATGCAAATGTGTGGGTTAGTGACGTACCATAACCCAGCTGTAGTCCCAATCGAGTCGTTTTTGTATGCAATAAACTTCCTGATTTTTAAAAGACGATATCTCTGCTTACACTGAACTTTCAGCGCTGCAACTTTGCAGATACTGTTCATGCACCAACAGCAACATTACACACTATTTAAAATAAAAAAAAGTGAAATCACAGTCAACCCCCCCTTTAACTTAACAAAATAAAACACACACACACAAACAACTTCTATTACATAGTCATACATTTTATGTTCTACAAAACAAACAACAAATACATATATAACAAGATAGTAAATTGATGTTGATTCAGAATACAATATATTTAAACTTTAAAATCCCATTTTTACAACTTTTTATTCAAACAATTAAATGACTAATTTACTTACACATGAGACTTAACGTCTAACCATGATTTATATAGATAAATGCATGCACCTATCTGTATACGTACACACTGTGTTGTAACACACCTACATTTTTGCTAATAAATTACTGCTACAAAGTAAAACAAAAAACTGACACTCAAACCCCAAAATTACATTACCATTTGCTCCAATGTTTAAATAAAACCCCCACTATTTCCAAACTATTTCCAAACAGATCTCAATCCCCATTGACTACCATAGTAGGAAAAAATACATACTATGGTAGTCAATGGGGAATGAGATCTGTTTGATTAAAACATTCTTCCAAATATCGTCCTTTGTGTTCAGCAGAACAAATGAACACATAGAGGTTTGGAACAACATGAGGGTGAGTAAATACTGACACAATTGTCATTTTTGGGTGAACTAACCCTTTAATAGAGTATGTTGTTCACTTAGGAAGACTGGAACATGGGTCAAATTCATGTTGATTTTTTAACAGACAAAATTTTCTGTGGTGTTTAATCTGTTTGCTGTTGTGTATGCTGACTTCACAATATCTCATAGTAAGTGTGTGTGTGCGTGAGAGAAAGAGGCAGATTAGGAGAGTAGAAGTGGAGCGAGACATATTTAGCAGCGAGAGGGGAAGTGTTGCAGTTTCTTGCGCCAGGTTAAGAAAGAGGAAACAAACACACAAATGAAATTGTGAGGTACTGAGAGTGGATGTCACAGAGACGTCGGGATTATCAAGCAAGGCACAACACACTCACAAGCATGAGGACGAGTCCCATGGATCACAGAGCAAGCGCTGTGAGATACTGAGGCATGACAGGCACGATGGTTTTGGCATGTGTTGCATGACCCGGGCACTGAAGGCAGAAAAGCAGCAACGAAAGACCAGACAAACATTCAATCTGAGGCCATGGGGAGTGTTAGTGAATTGTGTGTGTCCAGTTTTCAAGCTCTCTTGTGTCCAACGATACCAAAGACCCCTCCAGGTAAGAGCTATCTAATCTTTCATTGTTATCATAGCCAATACGTTTTCTATTGTTCCTCTGGTTAATGCAACCATCACTATCATTATTATGATGGTCAACATTATGCTAAGCAACCAGACTTACCATTTTATGACTGACAGATTATAAAGAGGACATAACACCAGAGTATCATACAGACTTGGTGGGATCTTGAGCCTATAAGCAGCATTGTGGTCAATCACTAGTTTCTATCACTTTGAGAGAGAGTAACAGTAGTCTTCCTGTGGTGCAATAGTAGGGAATGCACTATAATCAACATGTGATGGAAAAGCAAATTGAAGGACTGTATTAGAGAAGTTTGTTTCTGTCTAATGAAGCTGTAGCTTGTATGGTCAGCTTAAAGGATCTTTAGTCTCTCAGGCAGGAGATCAGGTAATGCCATTAAGGGCTATATAGGCAGACGTAATCCCTCACACCCAATGATTTTGAGCATCTTTTCCAAAGTTGCTCTTTCCAAGACGCCTTTGTTTAGGTCTCCTTACTTGATATCCTTGTCTGTATCTCACAATTTCAAGGAATAGTTCACCCAAAAACCAAATATTTCGAAGAATAATTGCTTCAATTCCAATATGTTCCTCACACAAAGCTATTGAGTGACTTTAAGACTTCGAAGTCAGATGAACTACTGCTATGCCTTTGTGATGTGTATGGTGCTTTTGCTTTTCTTTTCTTTTTGAGATTTTGAGACAAAGAATGCTTACTGTACATGAATCGTATCAGACATCACTGATGGTGATTTGTATGGTTACTTACATGTTGTGGGATTACTGTCAGGTCCATATCTTACATTAAAAGTCTACCAGCTCCCCAGCTGTAGATCTACGTTTTGCTTCGTTTCGTGCTGACATTTAATGGCGTTTACATACACGCGGAATCATTCGGACATTTAATGGCGTAGACATACACGCGGATCATGGGCCATTATTTCATCCGCAACACAAAACTCATGATCCGTCCGCCATCCATCCGCACCAACGTTTTTGACCAATTTTCAAAACGGCACTCACCCGCCATCCGGTGATTGAGCGATACAAGGCGCTGCTGATGACAGCCACGAGACTAGAAAGCTCTCAGAATATCAGCAGTGAACTCCGTCTCGGATCGGCACGCAGGGACAAAAATAAATAAATTAAAAGCACTTCGGCAAACCTGACTGTGGCGAGGGGGGCGTGATTTTGCGAAGTCTGTAACGGAAGAGAAAGGACGGAGCCGCGCGGTTAGTGGGTCAAGTGCAGATGATGAACACCTGTGTCTGATTGCAGTAATTGGCGTGGAGAGACCGCATATAACTGGTGGGAATGATAGAGCGAGAGAGCGAGTTGGACTGGGACTTTGCATACGGCTACTGCAACCGAGACTGAGAAGTGTTGGATCGCGAGTTTTGTTTATGGTGGCGAATGCGCTACTATGTGCCACGTTTCTTTTTGTTTTTCTGAATAAATGCAAGTCTTCATGCGAGTCTTCTTCCTTCCACACACACTGAACCTCTTCACACTGACCTTATCTGATAGGCTACTGTACAATATTTTCATTGTAGCCTAATAGAAAACGCATTTTAGCACATTATTTGGTTCAACCGCCCGCCACCCACCCGAATTTAATTAAAATATTTTTTTAGTCACGTCATCCGCCCGATCTGCGGTTCATCCGCGGAGTCCGCGTCTGTAACCGCCAACCGTGCATCTCTAGTGCAAATCTATTGCATGCAAGATGTATTTGGTCGGCAGGCATTGCCCTATCACTTTCAGTTAGCACATTCACTGGACTGCCAGATTGAGGAAGTGTTTTAGGGATTTGTCACCATGTTGAATCAGCATGTTGAGAGAGGGTGCTTATGGGGACAGGAATTTCAAAACCTGAATATTCCGGTTTGTAGATTAAGTTGGTGACAATAGGGAATTTGCTCCTGTTGTGTTGAGCAATGGAGCTTTGTTCATAAATGCCGTCATGCAATGTTGTTAGAGTTCATTTGAGTTCATGTTGCTGAACTCAGTGCCTCCCTCAGCTTCTTAAGCATGCATGCGTTTGAACTAATGCATGAATGCCGTCGGAGAGTCTCGCATGACTCATCTAAAGGCTCACAATTTCAGACACTCAATCATAGCTAAACTGCCGATTTGACGGTTTGATATAAAGTGCGTCTTCCTAATCATGGCCAAACCGAACACACTAATCAGTTTAAAAGTTTTTATCTTCAACTTTTATGGCATGGCCATCGGCAGGGTCTTAATTTCATCTCTTGTCTAGTCCAATGGTATTCCTTGAATGTGTCCCCCAAAGAACATAATAATCTCCAGCTAATAAGCACAATGGAAATGTGTAACAAATCCCAAGATAATGTTGCTTTAAATGCTCTTGATGATAATTAGGAGTCTGAACTATATCCCCGTGTATGTCAGTTCAGAGCAGGTGCTTTGAAATTATAGCTGCCGTCCTCTGTGTGACATGGAAATTGTTCCCTATTTGACTTTCGTTTGGCTACAGCTGGAGGCAGCGAAGGGGAACAGATCAAGACAAGGGTTCATTACTCTGACTGCTGGAAAATCACAAGAGACATGAGATTCAATACTTCATTGCTGTATTTGCTTCACGTTTTGTCTGTTCTCACTAAATTTGGGTTACCAGTTGACACACAAGTTGACACATGAGAGACTCAGCATGTTTGTGAACTCTGATCAACTCAGACTCAAGGTTGAGTCAAAATGTATTTTCATGAACAAATGTGAACAATGGGCACAAACAGGGTCGGTTACGAGTGCGGGCAATCAAGGCAGAAATGATCATCCAGAAATGTCAATCCAATAAACAAGCAGAAGATCATAACATGAGGCAAGACATGTTGGGGAATATATATATATGGGGATATACCATGGGGAAACGCTCGGGCAACATTTCGCAATGAGCATGTGGAATCGCATGGCTTTTAAAGGGGTCAAGACATGTATTTTTTTATATGATCCTTGAGGTTCACTTATAATGTTTTACAAATATCTATGTGGAAAATCGTATTTACAGACAAAGCATTATGAAAGCTTTTACTTACTTTTTTGAATCGGCTGCGGTCAGATCCAATACAGTCTCCCTGTCCCTCTTGGACAAAACTATCTTCAGTCAAATGCTCTGAACAAACATATAATCTTCCAAAATGATTCGGGATGCCATTAAAATAAACCATGCACTTCTGAAGTCTGTACAGAGATGCAAACCAGCTGTTTAAAATGGATCCGTCAAAGTGAACGTGCTTTCATTCTTCCATTTGTCCTGTTGTCGACAGTATACCCAGACAGCAAACTGACATTGAATCAACGTGGAAACGACGTCTCTCATGACATTGAAACAACGTTGATTTTGCTCATCGAATTAACGTTGAACCAACGTCAGACGCGGCATTCTTCAAAGCTAAATGAAAATCGAAAATTGGTTTGCTTTCATAACGTTGAAACAACGCGTTGATTTCAAGTTGATTTTCCGTTAGTTTTGAAAGAATGACGCGTCTGACGTTGGTTCAACGTTAATTCGATGAGCAAAACAATGTCAGATCAGCGTTGTTTCGATGTCATATTTCCACGTTGATTCAATGTCAGTTTGCTATCTGGGTACTGTATCAGTGTAGACAGCGTCAGTGATTATAATGTTTTCTATTCACTTTTGACAAATGTCAGCCGTTAAGCGACTAAATGCTAGTGGGCAGGGCCTACGGTGTGATGATTCACACTATATATATATATATATATATATATATATATTAGGGGTGGCACGGTACATGAAAACACATCCGAACCGTTCGGTTCGCCTGTCTCGGTTCGGAGTGTGTGTGCGTCTCACGGTTCGACGAATGCGCAATGTAGTCTCGTGCCCGTATGTGACGTGTGTTTTCTTTTCGCGCGACATAAGCTTGTTCGACTTGGATCGGCGCTGCACAGAGCGATCAGTGAATAACATCAAACTAGTGCGAGAGCGACGGCTCCGTATGCTTTTCAATCCCTTTCGCGGTGTTTGATGTCATTACCGATCGCTCTGTGCAGCGCCGGTTCAAGTTAGTAAACAAGCCAGTAAAAGTGGAGTATGGAGCGCGGTCACGGCACGCGGAGAAATGGCAGGTGGGAGAGATGAGGGAGTTAGAGGATGTGCCAGCGTCGTATAAGTCTATAGTATAAGTCCAGTGTGTGGGAACATTTTGGATTTCATGGTACGATATTTTAATATAACGCTACAGTGGCACTTTATGTTTAGATTTCAAGATTTCAAGTGAAAAAACTTACCCTCACTCTCAGGGAATATAGGCATTGTTGATACTGTTTTTGTGTTGAGGTTGAACTTATGTTTCACTTTATGTTTATGGCCTTTGCTATTGCTATAGCCTAAGTATAGGCAATGAGGTTTCATGTATATTGACTTATTTATAAAAGACAGTGTTTTAAGAGTTCCTCTTTTTTTCTTTTAAAAGATATTATTTTTGTAAGAGCTACAAAAGTTGGCAGTTGATAAATGCAAGTTAATTTCTTTGTGTAAAAAAGATTTGTGTGATAAAAATGCACAAGTTCTTGTAGAGATAGTGATACACATTCTCCTTTTTTTGCCAAATAAACGAAAAGCATGTCAATGTCTTCTCTCTTGCTGTGTCAAAATCTCACCTAGCTTTCCTCTGAGATAGTCCCAAAATGTGCTTAAAGTCAAGTCAAATTCAGTTTGTGCATGATTGCATGAATATAATTTTTGTATACTGTATCCTAAAGTGTGGATAATTAAGCTATATATATCACATGCTGAAGTACATTTCTGGTAAAGATTAAAAGACAAAAAAACAACAAGAACCGTACAGAACCGAAAATCGTGACCCTAAAACCGTGATACAAACCGAACCGTCGGTTTTGTGAACCGTGCCACCCCTAATATATATATATATATATATATATATATATATATATATATATATAATGTGAATCTTGATTAAAATAAAA